CACTGTCCTGACTACACTACACGTGTGGCTCTTCGACTGGCATAGAACACCCCCCCCAAACCATTGCAGAGCAAAAGGGTTTTCACAAGCTCAGAAGATAGAAAACTAAAATAAAAGCTAAATTTGAATGTGTTGTGCATGTCCAGCTCCTTTCCACCTTACACAGACAAACAGGTATCAACCTCAGCTGGAAAACCAGGAACTTAAACTTCCTCTTTAAACCAGGAACTTAAATTTCCTCTTAGTTACAGTAATAAAGACTCTCTCGCACAAGCTACACACTGCAACATCCACAAGGGTCACAAGATGGCAGGATTACACTGCCATTGAAAACACCCATACAATGAAACGGTCATTGAATTCCCTGTGCCTTGGGGAATTCACAGGCAGCACCACAATGAATCTCCCAAAACCTTTGCCTATGTCCTGGTATTGCCAGGTTCCTGAAGGGTAAGTCAACTGGAAAGCCACATTGTCTTCTCCCCCCTCCCTAGCATTATTTACTGCTAAGGTTTCCCCTTTTTTACTCATCCATTCCTTGATGTCTAGCATGGCAGACTCTTGGGCAGCACTGTACCTTAGTTGGGCCCAACAGCATGCTTGTCTTCAGTTTGGGGGGAGAAAGCACAACAGAGCACCTACTCTCAAAAGCTGCTGATTTCTGACATCCCCTATACTTCACATCATTGTCTGTAGTTAGCAGGTACAAGCTAATTTTACAGTACTTAGCCCAGGTGGTTCTGCTCTAAGGATTCCATATAGATTGCAGAAATCCATTCAGGGCTCAGCACAGCCATACATTCCAGAAGCCCACACTGAACCTCACTACATACGTGTAGCACTGAAGAGGAATCATAGAATCACAGAGTAGTTTGGGTTGGAAGGGACCCAAACCCCCTGCCATGTGCAGGGACACCTTCCACTACATCAGGCTGCTCCAAGCCCCATCCAATCCGACCTTAAACACACAAGCTTCAGAGGTGGGTCATTGGAAGATCCCAGAATGATCAGAGGCTTCCCTCCTGAAGGCCAGTTTCCATTCCCACCGTGCTGAACACTTCCCCTTCTTCTGGGAAGTGACTCTCAGCACAGCTGAGTGATGTCAGCTTTGAGGAAACCACAAAACCTGTTACATTAAGAGCTACTTCAGTTGTCAGTGGTGGTCCCTTTTAAAGAGCATTGAAGTACACCTGCTAAAAGAGCTGGCTCTGGAGACAGTGAAGGATGTCATAGGATCCCAGACTGATTTGGGTTGGAAAGGACCTTGAAGCTCACCCAGTTCCAACCCCCTGCCACAGGCAGGGCCACCTTCCACTCCCACAAAATGGTAACAAACCTTTCATCACCCCTGGTAGCTCAAGAACTTCTTTTACATTTTGATTCCTCATTGGACAACTCAAAGACAAGCTTAAGGTAAGTGCTGGACAACTCCTAATAAAACAAGGACTAAGTGCCACCAACTGTCCCACACACAATTACATGGAAAAATACCTTTAAAAACACGAAATACACTTTTTAAACTTCACCTACATATAGGTGAACATCAGATTTCTAACTTTGCTTGATCACTTAATCTCTAGGAACTTTGGGATGTTTTCCAGGGATATTTTGTTTTCTCTTTTGAAGACTGAAGGAAAAGAATACTGTTAGCCACATTTCATTGAGAGAGAAGCTTCTTTTAACCTACAGTCCATGTACGAAGATGAAGTTTAAATCAGAACCTGAAAAAAAACCATAAACTCTGGGATTTGAGCTGAAAATTCAGCCATGATCTGGTTCAAACACTGTAGTAACTGCACACTGATAAAATAAAGCCATCTTCCCTCCTGAATGGAAACTTCAGTACAGTGTTTTACAAGCTCACTGTTCTGAGCCAACAGCTTTCATTTCCTTTGATGTAAAGAAGAGCTCTTTCTCCGAAATTCTCCAGAGCTTCAATGATTCACGCTTTGGGTTTTTCCCTCTGAATTGGCCTTTAAGAAGTCAGGAAATTGGTTGCTTTTCCCATCAAAAAGCAGCCCCAAAGTCAGGTAGTTGAGGTAAGCAGGAAGTGGAATCATTCTGCAAGGTAGGCACACAGAAACCCTAAAGGCCCCTGTGCAAGTTTCCAATGAATAATATGGCTCTGATCATCTTGTTTCAGTATTAAGTGTCAGCAGTGTCAGATATTCAACACCCACAGCCCAGGAAGCCTTGTACACCTCACCAAGACTTGCTGCTTGCTGCCAGAAGCACAGACAGACACTCAAATCTTTCATTCCTCAAATAGTTTGAGTGGGTTTTTTTGCCCCCATGTTGCTGCTTCTCTGCCATTGTCAGGAACTGAATTGGGAAAGTAAAATTAAGTGTGCTCCAGAACACTGGGACAAGCTAACGAATAAACTCCTGCCTTTCCTAGCTCTTTCATTACATCACAGAGGCACTTCATTCCATTTTCCAAGTTTATTTTACCTTTACAAAAGGTCACAATCAGAAATCTTGCTGAAAACATCAGAAAAACCCCAGGAAGAGTCAATACACAGCCAAGAATAAATATGGCCAACATAGGAGCAGTAAGAAGCGTCTTTCCTAGCCAGGGTTTAGACTTCAGAGTATATTAAATCCCACAGCGAACTGCAAGGCAGAGACAGTCTCACACTTTAAAGAAGTTATCCTATTAATCCAATCCAATGCTTTCACCTTTCCTTGGCTGAATCTCCAGTTCATCTCAACTAAGAAAACGCACATTTCCTGATGCAACAGAGGAAACCTCTCTTCTTTTAAGCGAATTTCACAGAGATACCTATGGGAAAAATTATCAGTAACACCAGAAAGAACATGAAGAGGATCAAAGAAAGCAAAATACATTGAAAGGACTAATTATGTCTCACACTGTCTCTGCTCTCGTTCTACATGAAGGCAAAGTGAAGGTATAGAGATGCCAGATGCAGAAAACACATCACAGAGAAGCTGGAAGAGTCAAACTAGAACTACAGAGGAATACATTCTAGTGAACAAGGATAACCCTTTGCACTGCATTTTCCCTTACACTTATTTCAGCCAGTTGCAAGACTCAGATGCACAGAAGAGAAAAAGCAAAGACAGGATAACTCCTCTTGACATAATCACTGAAGAAATGCTCAGCGATAAAACCATGCCCATGAATCATACAATTAATCCTCCAGCTCTATTCAAGCTTGCCAAGACTTCCTCTAGAGAAGGCTTCAAGACAGAGCAAGTGGAAAGAGTTCCGAGAGAGACTAAGAGGTCTAGAAACCACAAGTAGGTGGTTTCCTACATAAAGTAGGATGAAAGCCTAGAGAAGCTGAGAAGAGATGATTATAAATGCTTAAAAAGATGCTGAAGAGTCAATTCTTCTTCATAATGGCTAATATATACTTTAACTAACAGAACTTCTCTCCTTCTCTGACTTGAAATCAGTTACTGGACTGGATTGCATAGAGAGGTCATGAAGTCACCGGGTAGATCATTACCCAGTCTTCATTAAGCATGCCTTGAAGCACAGAAGCTAGTGATTAGCTTACCAAGGTAATAACCTGTCCCACTTCTTAAAATTCTCTCAAGTGCTTTTGCATCACACAGCTATGGAGCCAATAGATCCTGCTCCACAGCTGCTGTAATTTCATAGAGCCCTACTGAAACCAGCACGTCATTCAGACTTGGAATAATCCCCTTGGAGTAGTTAGTAAGGTGACTAACAGAAATGTCACTATTCTGTTAGGATTTCATTTCCAAGCCCTGTACTATTTCTCTTATCTGTAAGGCAATGTGAAGAAGCTGACACAATGGCTGTACTGTGAGATATTTATACCCTTCCATGTGAATGGTGACTCAAAACTCACTTGTGCAAGGAGCCGATTTGGTCATAAGAGTTGACTCCAAGCAGCTTTCACCAGAAGGCCAAACCAAGAAAGCATCCAGAGCTTTGAATCTGTTATTGCAGCCACAAAACACATGTGGCTGCAATAACAGTGAGTTTTAACTAGCTGAGTTTTAACTAGTTGAAGCCACAGGCTAGATTCTTACTTGAAATCAGTACCAATTCACTGCAAGTAAGCCCAGCTGAAAGCCTGCCCCTTTAAATTCAGACAACACAATTCATTACAGCCATGTTAGTGCTCTGTGAAGCTGGAGGAGCACTAATCTGACATTTAAAAAACCTCCAATTTTCTGTAGGGGGAACATATTCCATCTTCCAGTGATCAAGTCACTGGAGCTACGCTGGTATACACCAGCAGATGTTCTGGTTCTTTTTCTTTTGGGATACTTTTCGTGTATCAGGAACAAATGTTGCTCTATTCTCTGTTCCCCACTGTCTTTTCCTAGTGTATAAACTAGGTGAGAAGAGAGCATTAAACCAAATGTCTTTCTCTAGACCATGTGATCCTCATTTGAGTCTCCCTTTTGTAATTCAGTATTCCAGGTACCAAGGGTTGCTGAGTTAGAGAAGAGAAGCAGCATAAATGTCACTCCTTTCTCCTCTAGTTTCCTTGGAGAGAATGAGGGGATCACTGAACTTATAGAGAAAAACCCCTGCAAGCACAAATGATGTGGCTGTAACAGTCTCACTCTGCACTGAGCCTGGTTTAACCAACACCTTCTGTTAGCATTGAAAAGGACTGAATGGATTAAGAATAATGGCTCTTTCCTCCACAACAAAGAGGGCGATTTCACACAAATAAAAAGCACTGCCTGTGTACAGAAAAGTAGTAGATATGCTTGCTAGGAACACCACCTTATTTGCTTAGTATGAGCACCAGGACACATCCTGGAAATACAGATAGCCTGTGAAAGCTGTAGGTACCACTGTACTTCCCATGGGACTGAAGGTGGGACACCGGCCTTCTATACGGGTATCAATCTGTGGGGGCACCACGGAGACATGTGCAGGAGATGCAAAAGGGAGTAACAACAAGAAGGGCGCCTGGCCCCAAAGGAAGTTGAATAGAACATCAATGAAAAATCCAGCAACCCAGGAGACTTGCACTAATGGAATGCTGTTGAACTGAATGTCAGCCTGAGCAGGTTCCTTTTGCTTCTAAACACTAGGTTTGTTGAGAGGAAACACAGCAAAACTCTCCCAAGCCCATTCCTTATTGCTATGTATATGAGGATGCTTTATGCACCCAGACCCTCCCTTCTCTTTGGAAAAGCTGAGCTCAGCTTCCCCTTCTCACAGCACATTGCAATTCATCTGTTTCACTGCAGACTCTGAGGGTGGAAGTAGCAGTGCTTTTCTTCTGGTGTTTTGTCTCCATGTTCTTCTTCTGGAAGCTGGCAGCTGTAAGTCTCTTCTCTCTGGTGGGACCGTTGTGGAGCCATTGGCTGCTTAGGGAAGATATGTTCCAGATCTGCAGTGAGAACAAGCAAAAGGACTTGCACATTCAAGAGGTCTTCATACATGACAGTTAGCTGCCCATTACCTTCCCTCTCTGAGGAAAGGACAAAGATACGGGCCCAAAAGTCAGAGTAAATATGTATTTACTCTATTTATTCAACTCAGTTTACTCCATTCTGACTCACTGTTCACCACTGAAAAGCCACACACAAGCCCACAACAGTGCACTTACCATCAGCTGCGTGGTATTTTTCTTTCTTCAGTGACCATATGCAGAAATGCAAGATGAAGGTCAGCAAGATGAGAACAAACAGAGCCACTGCAGTCAGGATGGCCAGGATGGTGGTAGAGAGGGAGTCAATTGTAATGAGACCTGCAAGTAAATGTATTTAATAAAGATTAAGAAGATTAATCTTTGCCCAGGTCAACAATTCTATCTATATTAATATTACAAGAAACACAACAGCTCTGGACAGTACCTATGCAGCAAGTCATCAACTGAAGCAGTGTAGAGAAACATTATAAGCTCAAAGAAATCAAACCATTGTGAGAAAGTACCTTGTTCCAGCTCCTTAGGAAGCAGACCACATATTGCATTATGTGTACTGTTCCCTTGCTTGACTGTTAGAAACCCAGAGCTTTCACAACTAAAAGAAGAGAAAAAAAGTCACATTTAGAATGTCCCTGCCTTGTCCTTCATTCCTCTCCAGCCTTTCTCTTGGCTCCCCCATTCTTCCTTTCTCCACTCTTTCTTTTTTGGCTTTTTACAGCAGCGCAGGTAAAGTTATGGCTGCTCCCCAACAAGATAACAGTCTATTACAATTCCTTATGTACATACATATTTTTTAGTCCCTTGTTTCAAGTGATGCATGGTTTTGCATCACTTTGATCTGGGCTTGGAAGCAAGTTGAATACACAGGAGTTTGTCTTAAACTCTGCTTTGAGAGCAACAATTCATAGAGCCAAAGAAGAAAGACATATCATATATTGCTGAATTAAAAAACCTCAGTCACATCAGTGATCTCTTCTTTGATTACATTTTGTTTTCTAATTTAAGTATTAGAGAGTTTTATCATGCGTATCTCTAAAGAGGAAAAGCACCAATAAATACATACTCAGTCCAGTTACGGCACCAGCCATTCTTCACACTAGAATAGGTTCCCATCTCACATGGTTTACATCTGAATGTGAAGTCTACATTGCCTATACGAAAAGAGAACATGAATTGTCAGTGATCAGTGCCTTTATCAAAGATGGGGATGCAACAGATTAGAGCACAACCCACTTCCTCTGCACTCTTTCTGCATTATGAATCAGCCCCCCAGAGAAAAACATAAGCAGTTCTTGCCATCTTTATGCTTAGGAAATGTATGGGCAGATCCCTTGCAGAACTGGTACAGAACAGTCTGATCTGACAGCAGAGGGTGTAAAGATGAGAAGTAACAGAGTAAAAGTCTTCTACTGACAGTTCTAGAAGCTTGGAGACAATACTGAAGGTCTGAGTGTGAAAGTCTCAAATTTAAGAAGGGAAGAGCTATAAAACAGGAAAGCAAGAGGTTTAGTCACAGAGACCACAGTATAAATGCCATTTCTCTCTGCATCACAAGCCTTTCCAAGAGCAGGTTGTAGTAAGTGAAGGAAGCTGCTGCTCAGCAGCCACTTATATTGAACGCTACATTTCAGAGTCATTAGTGTTTCTGTAGTTACCAAGCTTCACCAGCTCCTCGCCCGCTGCACACTCAGGCAGTTTCTGGCAGTAGAGACATGCACTGTCAACACAGCTGTATCCCTGACGACATCTGCAGTCATGGTCCTGGGTATTTTGACACGTACTGTTGCCTCCTGTGAAGAAAGAAATTAAGATTTGCCTTTGTCATAGAGGCCAGAAATTAACTTCAGCATTAGTCTTACTGGCTTGACACAGGTGAAGTAGCTCCTTAGTGTGCTGTGGTGGAAAAAGCAGGTACCAGAAAGGTGTGACTCCCATGCATAGTGGATAAAGTTTAGAGTACTCAAATTCAGCATCACTCAGATTCTTACACCATGATTACCTGACTTACCAGTGTAACCCTTCTCTCTCATCTGGAATACCAGCATAGGTCATGGTAGACAGAAGTAAGGCAGCAGGTTTGCTTTACTACAGTGTTTAGACACTGTGAGATGAGGAGGGCACTTTCAGTGCCCCAAAGCATTACACATTAACTATCCATGCAGTCACTTCTCAGAACACTGTCAGAGCTCTTCTCAGTTAGGCACAGCCATCTTAGAGGAGGGATGCCCAAAAGATCCTTGGTCAGTGAAGCTAGAGCTCCTTTTCCATGTCTTTCCTAACAACAGCAGCTGCTTCCTATAGTCTGTTGGCAGAAGTGGGCCTAAATCCAAGCTACAAAGCCAGCACCCTCCCTACCCTCTGTCTTTCCATTTCTAGAGGAGTTCCGTTATGACTTTTTGCACTCAAAATATCATCTCTAACTCTGAGAGGCTCCTGGGTTCCTGAAAGCAAAGACTGATTACATATACAAATCCCATCAGTAAACAGCATCAAGCATTCCTTCGGGCAGTTGAAGACCAGCTAAGGAAAAGTACTGCTCAGTCAGGAAGCTGTATAACCTTAAAGAAAGAAAAAAGCAGATGGAAATGCCAGCTAGTTCATTAGTGTGCTCAAAAACCCACACTGAGGAGCACAGAGCAAGCAAAGACGGTTTCCTCAGGTGGGTGATGGAATGCACAGGGCCACCAGGGAACTGCCCACATCTTCCTATGCCAACTGGCCTCCTCTTACTGTCCTTCAAAACCCAATGAAGTTTGACAACATGGAAACAGCTTGGGGCTGCTTCTCTCTATGTACTGCCAGTGGGTGAGCCTGGTGTTGATCTCACCAAGCAATGACTTACTTCCCTCATGCTGGGTGACATTATCTGAGTGGGAAGGGAAATACCCATGGGTCTCCATACTACTGAGGACTCTGTAGCTCTTCACCTATTTGTTGCTCATGGCCACAAACCCCATGTGTCCACTCACTGCTTCCACAGAGAACTCAATGTCCTTGTTGGTTAAGGCAGATATATTGAAGCTACTAATAGGTGGGATGCTGACTCCTACTTCAGCATCCGTGAAAGATGCAACTTCTGAGCTGCTCCTGTTTGCTGACCTGCAGGACAACAGCATTACCACACTACCTAGACAGGCTTCCGGCAACTCTTGAGCTGGGACAAACGGAAAAGGAAGGAGCATTCCTCACTGTAGGTCATGCAGCCCTAATCTGACTTACAATTACAGGCAAGGGAGAATCCATGACCACCATCCCACCACCATTCTAAGATCAGGCAGAGATACAAGTCAGAACAAGCTGTTGAAACTAATGATCACCTGAGACTTTGGCTGTGCATTTACTTCTGGGACACACACAGGTCAGCAGAATGGAAGGATTAAAGAGGGACCACAAATTGCAAAGGGCAGCCTTACAGACAGCAGCACTCCTGTTCCTTCTGAAGTCTAAATGGCTCAGACATTGAAACCATGCTTGAATGGCTCAGATTCAGAATTAGGTGAACTCCTTCTTTCCTTGTGGGCAAAACCAGCCCACAGAAACTTAACTTTCAATTTCCCACTACAGAATAGCAAGTATAGGCATGTTTTAAATCCGAAACCCGAGTCCACTCTGAAGTTTACAGCTAAGGTACATTATGAATTTAGGGGGCAGAGGAAAGTCCTTGCCATTTTGTTTTGCATATACAGTTACTCAAGATACATCCATATCCACATTCCCCACACTCAATTACCTTGTTGACATAATACTGATGAACAGAAAGAGGACAGACACATCATTCCCTTACCTGTGTTCGAGGTGCATTTGGGGCAGCATTTCTTTTCACCTTTACTGATGACTCGCAGTTCACCATCACCGCACGCTGTTGCCAGAATTTGCTGTGTCCACTGCCATAGGCACATCAGCACCAGCAAGCAAGCTCGAACCTTGAGATGATCACTTGTCTGCTCAGCCATACCTTGAGCTATACAACCCAAAAGCACACAAGGATGAGCTTCCCTGCCAAAGCACTCTTCCCCCTCACACTGTGGGTAGACACTGTGCTTTTTGTGGCTGCACTCTTCCTGTTTCTTCAGGGGCGGGGAAAAGATTTTGCTTGATGTCATCAAAGTCTTAAAAAAGCAGGGCTAAGCAACCGTGCACCAGTGTCTCCATTAGGGGAGCAGCAGGTTGAGAGCAAGATGTAGCATCACATATTCCCATTTTCAAAGGATTTTGCAAGTTGATATACACCTGAAAATTAAAGCAAATGAAATCAGTGTGTGAATGTCAGCACTTTCAGACTATTTCATTCTGACTTAAAGCCCACAGAATGGTTTGGACTGGAAAGGACCTTGAAGCTCATCAGGCAGGGACACCTTCCACTAGGGCAGGTTGCTCCAAGCCCCATCCAACCTGGCCTTGAACACTGCCAGGGATGGGGCAGCCACAGCTTCCAATTCAAATCTAATTCCTAATCCAGTTCCTGACCTAATGAATTTTGAAACATTCAGGGATTTAACTATCTAACTGTATATATAGCAGTCTTTAAATTGAAAAAGGGGAGACTTAGATTAGATATTAGGAAGAAATTCTTCCCTGTGAGGGTGGTGAGGCCCTGGCACAGATTGCCCAGAGAAGCCGTGGCTGCTCCATCCCTCCTGATGCCTGAATTTCCTCATCTTTCCAAGTACAGCATTAGCAACAGATGAGCCCATGTCTATCAGAAGGGACAAGGACAGCGTAGTCATTCCAGATAGAAGAATCTGCCATTACTCCAAAGCTCAGAGATGTACATTAATAACTAGAACTGCCCAAATACCCAACATGAACATTAACCAGATTTCTGCTCAGCATCGTGAACACAGCAGCAGAGAAGGGAGCTCTAAAGGGCTGAAGGAGACAACTGGCAGGTGGCACACAAGGGAACCCTATGCAGGCACTTAGTGCATGTGATACCTGATGCCTGGTGTTTATCAGAGTAGGAACTAACAATTTCTTTCCTTCTGCCTTTTTTGAATCTTGTTTTTCTTCTGTCTCTGCATGTTTTCATTCTTGTTCAAGCGTCAGTCGCGCACAAATACTGCCAGATGATGGAACATTTACAGTCAGAACACAGATAATAGTTGCACATGCCAAGTCTAAATCTCTACAGTCAGCAGTGACCTTTCAGAAATAACCTGACTATCTGGCTTTAAAATCTTTGGGGGTTTTCTAGAGCTAATCTCACCTGTCTCTGACGTAAGGTAGTGACATTTCATGTCAATCTTCTCATTCAGTCCTGTGTGTGATGTGTATCACTGCTGGCAGGTTCCATGCTGCTGCCTGTGTTCAACATTATAATCCCAAGGATTAAAAGGCCACTGAAAGCAATGTGGTCTTCAGGGTTGTTTGAGTACATGTATCTTGAAGTGCCTTCTCCTTTGCATGGACAGGAAGACACAGCAGAGCCTCAAAAAGGCAAAGAGAAGAACATGGAGCTGAGGTGTTCAGAAACGCCTCAGGGTTCAGAGTCCCCACTTATCACTAAAAAGAAACACCCAAACTGTGTCTTTGAAGAAAGACTCTGTAAGGGGTTGTGCTAGTATTTGAACCAAGGGTTGCTTCCATGCCAAGCTCTAGTTCCTCAGTTTTGGGTGAGAAGGTCTTAATCTTTTGTAATTGTCTCCAATAAATGAGTCTCAGAGTTCTGAGCATGCAGCCTCACTGTATCAAGAGACTTGGAGAAGATGGGCTTCTTCTCCTTCTTTCAGCAAAGGAAGAGAAGCACAGAACCACTCCAAAAGCAGAAGAAAGGACTATCTTCCAGCCATACCTGCCCATACCCATACAAAGCTCAGAACAAATCAAGGCCGAAACATAACACACTGTGATGGAACAGAGTAAAAGATGTTACAGATCTCCTAAGCCCCTTCTCCTTCCTTTGTGCTCCACACAGGAGCACTTCTAGTGTTAGGGATGAGATCTGAAGGAAGAACCAGTGGATTCTTCCACCCACTGGTGTGCACCAATGTGGCAGCTTGCACCTCTGCCTTCAGAGCACAAACTCCTACAAATAGCTGCAGATCAGGCTGTGCATTCTACTTTTGCCCACCCTAACAACATCCAGCCATGAGCTGAACATTATGCACATCGCCTCATTTCAGTTCCCTTTTTGCCTGGAGCAACTGAAGCCATCAGTTTCCCTGTCCTAATTACCACCCTTCTGAAAAGAACAAAATAAAGACAAAAAGAGCATAACCACTTCCCCAAATAAATCATTAACTCACGCAAGTCCAGTGGCTTTACTCACACTCCTCAGACTCAACATGATTCATGAGAAACCTTTGTTACCAGGGAGAGAATTTGGTTTCCTGAGGCTGCATGCTCAGATTTTGCAGATTACCCATAATGGGTGACTAAAGGAGCCATGCAGTCCTACTAGCAAGAGGTTCACATGAATTCTATGTAATTTCTGAATGACTAATGATATTTGGTAAACTGATGTACAAACTCCCTTGTAAGCTCCAGCTTGCAAATCATTTTCACCCTGCTTGCAGAAGACTCCAATGCTAGCTACAAGATTCATGTTCTGTTGCACAAAACTTGCCTATGCTCTTGAGAAACAACTGTCACTCAATCTTTACTTAAAAGATCACTCAATCTTTACCATGACACCTAGAAGAGTTACACACCATGATCTGCCACAGCAGGGGTGCAGTCTGGTACTACAACAGGCACATGGCAAGGCTGGTGCATGAGGGCATCAGCTGTCCTAGAGGATACCACATAAGTAGTGACAGCTCACACAGGGCTATCAAAAGACTGGGGTAAAAAAAAACCTTAAGGACAAATGATTTATCTGCAGCCTGAAACTAGAAGACAAAATTGTTGCGTTCCTTCCAGCTCTGCTGACATTTAGGCCAGACTTGAGGTTTTGCAGTGAGTAGGACTGCCTACCCTGTGGGCCCATAGAGTATTTGCAGTCCCTTGACCTACCCTCTTTTGGCACGCAGGGAGAATTACTGCCCTGCAAACCTGACACAGGTAGGGCTGGGGCCACAACAGTCAAACAACATGGCAAAGACATGGGTCACTCATGCAGTGCCACATGTGGGTTCCCATTCTCACCCCGAAACAGAGAGGGCTTTGCAAGGAGGCCTGGATCCTTCTCCAAGCAGTGCTAAGGATGCTGCACTATGCACTTGGCAGCTCTGCCTTGGTCTGTCAAATGAGGCTCAGTCACCTCTTAGCTGCTTGCAGAGCTTGGCTGCCAAAATGGTGACTCCTCGCAGACAACCCCAGGGGCACAGGGGCCAGGCAGCAGCATAGCTGACGTTTCAGAGATGGAACCAAACCAGACAAAGGCAAAACCACCAACTCCCTGACTCTACCAACCTGTGTATTTCCTTGCCAGCTTCACACCACGCATGCCTGTCAGTGGCTGCGACCTTTGTAAGTCTCTCATGGCAAATCTGAGTCACTTTGATGAGCTTCTAAGTACAGGAAAATGTGAAGAGAAAATGCAGGAAATGAAAGATCTGGCCTAGTCACAGTAGAGGAAACTTGCCATGTATTTGCAGAGGAAAACCAAAAAACCAAAAACAACCAAGGAGGAAATGAATATAGAAAGCACAGACTTACAGACCTGTGGTTTGTCCTTTTAACTGTAGTAACTACTGAAACATGAAATACATGCTAACTACCATACATGCAGTCTGAAAGGAGTGTTCAAGAACTCCAAACCCAGCTCATTTAGGTATTTTATCCCCACTATGGCTCTCAAATACCATCTGCTCTTGTCTTAATCCTTCTCCAAAACTGAATGCAGCAAAGCAATAAAGCAAACCAAACCTCCAAGTTGAACAAAGAGCCTTTTTAAACTCCAGGCAGCCATATGTGATAGCCTCACAGGTAGGAGAAAAAATACTGTAGATAGAAATCCTGAAGACTATAGGGGTTGGGGTTTTTGTTTGGTTTTCCTCCCAGTTCATTGTGGCCATCTGATCTAACCTCTGTCTCTACGTAATTCCAAGGAGACAGTGTAAGGGGCTGGCCCTGTGGCCTGTAAACTCATAGCCAGTGCAGTTGAAAAGAAGTTATTCAGGAAATAGAGTTCTCTATTACACCAAATTCAGGTGTTATCCTCACCCAGAAATACTAAAGGAATTACCACTCAGTTTTACGGATGGTTCTTAAAACCCTCAGCAGCCCAAATTTGTCAACAACACCCATGCAGACAGCTTGACATGCGCTTAAGTGACCTCCTGAATCAGGCTCTACGGAACCAAGATGCTTTTCATTCACATACCACCACATACCAAAGTATTCACATTGCCAGCACAGGTCACAGTAAAACCAGAGTTACCATTGGTTTGCAGAATAAAAGAACTGACACCTCAAGCTTACTGCACTACACTGCAAAATACTTCCAGTACAGCCCTATCTTTACCAGCTTAAACGAAGCTGCACAACTTTGACTATGTCTCTCCCAAGTGCCTGAAAAAGGGGACATCTGAATGGTTCAAAAATAGGAACTTACTTCATGACATGGGCACATATCTTTGAGAGGGGAAAGTTTCATTTACAGCAAGTAGGAAGACAAGTGTGGGCAGAAAGCACCACGCTTTTCAAGATTCTCTGCCTATTTTTAACTACTTCCTGCCATCTTAGGGAGAATTGGAACAAGCTCCAAGCAAGTTCTGCACAGAAGAATAACAAGTCTGAGCATGACAATTAAATCAACACCGTTATTCCTTTATTTAGGGTGAAATACCTACATTAGTTTATTTAAACCTGTGATCTACCAGCACCCACATCCTCAAAAATAACTAAATCATAAATGCCTCCAATCCTATCAAGTGTTATTATGGTTTAACTCTTCTGACAGGATTATACATCTTGGCACAGGGACTGGATGCGGTTCTACAGCAGCACAGCCTGGCTTCCAGTAGCACAAAAGCCAGCAATTCCAGCCTGGGTTGATTTGCTGTCACAGGATCAAGCCACGCTGCACTGTCTGCCCATTTCCCAAAGGCTGATGAGGAAATGCAATGTGTCTCAGCTACCCTGCCTCTGCTGCATGCTTCCAGGGCCAGTAATGGCTCCTTCTTCAGACAGAGGGAATCCATGCCCTGGTTTGCAGGAAAGCTTCCTATTTCCTGATGAGGTGGTAGGGAGGCATAAGAACACAATGCACTCTGACATCTTCCTGTGCAGCTGAGCGAGAGGGCAGGAAACAAGTGAGATTCTTGGAATGAGCTGATAAGCCCACACCACAGAGGGGCTCTGCTGCCAACAGCTCATCTGTTCCTGTGGGCTGCATTTCCATCACATAACCCACAGCCTCAGGTGGCTCAGTAGTTACCTGCACCTTGCTCAGTTACGAGCGTAACATGAGCTTTACGGTCTCTGAAGTGCAGCCTACAAACTTGATAAGCATCATTTCTCAGAATGTGCTGGCTGCTCCCTGGAATGCATCTCCCTGATGTATCCACTGCACACTGCCATCCAACTCACTGCAAGATGACAGCATTAAGGACACAGCACGCTTTCGAAGATCTCTACATTCACCACAGGGACTCTGCGTTATGAAGGGGCTGAGCATTATCATCTTGAACATCCCAGCAACATTCAGCTCTGCCGCCTGGCCAGATTACAGAGGAAACCACTACATACAGCATTCTAAAGGCAGCATGGAACTCAAACCCTGCTAAGCCACTGGACTGACTTGCACACACCAGAATTATACACAGCATAGTAACTTGTTGCTCATTTGTACTCTCCAATCATACACAAACACGCACTTCCAGCTGGTACTACCATTTATTTCAAGAAGTCACTATCACACTTTGTATATAATACAAATGTTTATATACATTGTATATGCACTTCAAAATAGGAAATCATTGCTAAGTATACCATATGTATAACATATAAGAATACATATGTTTAACAACATGTTTGTAGACACCAGTTGTATTCTTGAATACATTTTCTGCTGCATATTTTGGCATATGCTTTGGTCCTGTGTATATAAAATACCTGTATTCAATGAGTACTCCGCCTTTCCTCCTATTTTGAACACGTTTCCACTACTAATGTTCTCATCAAAAATTACCATTCCCTTTGCCTTCTGGCGATCCACATATTCTACTTTATACACACATGAAGATTTCCATGGAGATTTCCAAACACTTGGAGATCTGGATATACTTGGTGATCATGAGTAATTCCATTTGTTGGGAGGACAGCAGGGATGCTGCTCAATATGTTAACATGACATTTTCTCAGTGGGTGTTTGAAGAAATGCAGGGAAGAAAGAAGTGGCATTGAGCAGCCATCTCTCGATAGTCACTCAACAGCTAGCACCAGGATTGTGGTGCTACTCCACTAGACCAAGAAGAAATAACCTGAAGAAATGGAAGCAAAAAGGAAGCTGGCTAGGTTCATCAGGGGAGATTCTTCACCTAATGTAAGGGAAGTTCATTTGGGAAACAACTGAAACACTGCAGACACCGGTACTGAGAAAAGAGAGGAAGGCTCTGCTTAAGCATCTCAGAGCTGTAAGACAAGATACAAGTTCAGTTATAAGGCAGGTCTTTGGCTTTCCCTGTTTTCTGTCTGCTCAAGGATCAGCTCTTACAGCTTCCTCAATACTTTATTCAATTCCAAGACAATTCCCTATCCTTATATACAGAACTGGCTAGAAACGCACAGAGGACTATAGCCACTCAGTCCTGGCAACAGGGATGCTGTGCACAGGATCTGCCCAAGAGAAAGAATCACATCATTCCACCAAGAACAGCTACTCCCATGGCTCCTAACACCAAACGGGCACTCAACGAGCCCCAGAGGAACTAAAGTACAACTAAACAGGACATCCCCTCCACATCCAGCCACAGAACACTGACACATCATGTGTTACTACAATCCATTAGCTCAGAAACACAGGAAACGGTAACAGAACGTGGAGTCAGTTTTTGATGAGACTAGAATTGAAGTCAATTTGTTCTTCCTGGATAGGAAGTCGGCAGCTGTTTTCTTCTGAAAGACAGGTAATAAAACATAAGATACAATAAATAAGTGTACAGAGCAGAAAGAGCAGGGAAAGAGAAGCCAGGGACTTTCCTAGTTTCATGGATTGTGAGGCACCTACAGATGACATTTGGGTCAGCGCCTGTCTTTCCAGTCAGGGCTAGGAAACATCAAGTGTCAGGAACAGTGAAAATACACTTTACCATTACTCTATGAATGGAACATGAGGCAGCTGTGGGCTGACTCAAGAGCTAAACTACTACTTGATTCTGAATACAGAGGTCAGCTCTTCTCAGTCAAACCTTTCTTCTGTTTGCAGGAGATACTTTAAGGCTGTTCACTTCTATGTCGGCAAAAGATTTCACAATACTCTTCTAAAGTCTGTTGATTCTGGATCTTCTCTGTACTGAATAGAATTTCCTGCACAAAATCATTACATCATTTTTGCAGGGACTAAGGGCTAGCTTAGAAAGCTGGGAAGAGCTAAAAACAGAGAGAATCCTTCTCCATGACAACGAGCAAGGGAATCCATGCTCTATAAGAACTGAAACACTGAATTGAAACAACTGACATTCAGCGCATAAGGACTACATAGAGGATTAACTACTGTTGGATGTCACTGTGCTACTTGGCAAAATAGGCTTCATTATGACTGAAACAATTAGTAAAGTTCAAACAAGGGGCCCTGACTATTCTCTCCTATACATTTTTCCATATAAAAAGAAACTCACCATTATGGTTGTTTCTATGGGGCCTCCTCTTGGTCTCCTTTTTGGCTGCTTGGATAATCAACAGGAGGATGGACATTCCACTCACCATGAGCAATATCAGACAAATAAAGATAAGTGATACAGACCCTGTAAGAAAAACAGAAGAACACCACACTAAGAAAGATTCATGGCTCTAATGGGAGTTTCCATGGCTTCCCAGATTCTAAAGGAACCTAGATGTCCAGAAGTACCCCTGAACCACTCAGCCTACACAAAATCCCAGCTGCCAAGCTGATGGGGAAGTAACATGAAAACCTGTGTCTCACTGAAGACTGTATAAAATACAGATACAGCTTCTGAGAAAGAGTGTGGTTTCATTTCCATTAAATTCCTGGCAAGCTCTAGTAATAAACAGAGAGACTACACTTGGTCATTCCCTCTCCTTACCCCAGTTAGTCGCCATGGGGCTGTCTGTATCCAAACAAATGGAAGGAATCAGGCTGGGTCTGGATGGTGAGAACACTGCAGTTGATGTATTATTCTTGTGGTGTGTGGTGGAAAGGTTCAAAGCAGGTGTTGTACTCTGAGAGGCAGTTGCCTGTGGGATCTGGCTGCTGCAAACAGCATCATCTGTTTTCGTCCCTGGTCGAAGAGTCCTTTTCCCAAGAAGGCTGCAGCTAAAGATGCAAGATAAATCAGTGTTATTTTCAAACAGTTGTAGTAATGACTTTAATGCAGGTTTTCTCTACACACCATGATTTAGGCAGCAACTGCTATAGAAGTAAACTGAAAGTAAGCATAGAATGTTGCTCTGAACATACTGGATCAGTGATACATACTTGGTCCAAGGTTGACACTTCTCATAACCCCCTATGGAATAAGACCCTTCAGGACATGGTAAGCATTCTAGAAACAAAGAAAGAGGCAGAATTTGAGGTCAGTTAGCAACATAATTGTACAACAGCTACACAGTAACTACACTAACAGCTTATACTAGTAGTCTAGCTTATAGACCAGAGCCAAGAAAACCCACATAGCCTCTAAAATCTATAGCCACTGAGTCAGAAGTATCATAACACGCTTAGTGGTTCATTTTAGTCTGCAATGGGCAAGGTTTCCTGATCTCTCTTACTGACTGATTATGGATATTAACAAGAGAGCATTAAGATTTCTGACAGCTCAGGAATCACAGAGCAACAGTCCACACAACCACCCTGCTGCAACACTCGTGTGGAGATACCAATGAGACAAATGACAATAGCTTTTACATTAGAAATAACAACCTTCTTAAGTGGGAGCAAGAGTTTGGAGTCTGACACACCACTAACTTACCATGTCTCAGTTTGCTTCTGGCATCTGGCATATAACCTGCCACACACTTGCAAATTCTGTCAGAGGTCTTCTCACACTTCTTCACTTCCACACTCCCCTTTCCTAGCAACAGTGGAATAAAGGGCAAGTGAGAAACAAGAAGTTAAGGAATTAAATAACAGAATTATTCAGTGTCTATCTGTTGTGTGGAGAAACAACTGCAGAGAATAGTTTATTAACAATTCTGAAGACACCAGTTTTCAGGCAGTACAAGCCTGCTTCTCTCTGAAGGCTCAACCATCAGCTATTGAAACGATAACCCAGTTCTGGACTTGGCTCTCCCAAGTGACAGGCTTTACAGCATCATAAGCCTTTGAGGGGCATGCAAAAAAAAGAAAGCATAGGAAGACCCGATTGCTTCCCCAAAACCCAAAATCAAGTGCCCGCTATAAGCTGACTTACTAGTGTTGCAGACTGTACAAACATGGCAGAACTCGAGATTGTGCTTACTACTGAAGTATTCATCTTTACAGGGGACACAGACTGTGTCTGTTGTTGAAGTGCAGCGGTAGCTCATTTCTTCACCTAAAACAAGGACAAGGAAGCACTGATTATTAGCTGAAGGAAACGCTCTTTGTTTTCATGCATTAGAATGGAAGAGTGCCCAGAAACTAACAGTTCCACTTACAACTCTGGCTGAAAACATTCAGCAGATTTAAATAGGCTGGAATCCCCAAAAGTTTTGACCCATTGCATCACTGCAAATTAAGCAGCTAAAAGGGGCTAGAAGGGCCTGATGACAGGCTTTTAGCTAGAAATATGTCTGCTCTCCAATATAATACAATGGCTTTAAGACCGACCCTACATTCCTTTGCAAGACAAATCAAGCAATTCAACCCAAAGCAATCCCAAACAGGTACAGAAGATGGCAATGGACTGCTCAGGTTTGCAGTTAAAATTCATTAGTGAAGCAGCCAAGAATAAATGGTTGGAGAACCTCCTGCTGACATTCTGAAAGCCCATTAAGCACGAAAGAATGTGGTTGTATTTTAATCTGCATTGGCACCTAACAATATCAAAGATGTTACTAGCTCCATTTCACGAACAGCAAGACACAATGCAAGGCATTTGTTACCATTCCAGACAGTATGCGTGTATCATAAGAGGCATATAGAAATGAGCTCTGAGAGCTAGCACCAACAAATTCCATACTCAGTACTTACATGGAGGTTCAGATTAATGTGCTAGGATGACAAGGTCTGCGTGCCCAAACTGAAACAGCAAGTTACCAGTGGAGTTTGGAAAAGGTGTCAAGTATGTTCCTTCTATCTCACTAGCTTCTCTCCATGCAGGAATGACAGACAGTTTTAATTACTTGGGGGTTTACAGTTGAGCTTAAATACATCCTTATTCTCACAGACCTTTCCTTTCATTTTGGTTCTCCATTTCCCCATTCTGCAGGTAGCAATGAGCATCAAGTCTCTTGCTCACTCTAATTTTCTCCGTGTTTTAGTGAGTACTATCAGTGGCAAAACACAGGAGGTTTTTAGTGACTACAATATATGTAATACACTTCTATATCTTTATTCTCTACACAACCTATGAAGACACGTTTCCCCAACAGCAGCAGATTTGCCAACAGACACAATTTACGCTCCCCCTAGGCACGTACATGTACCCTTCTTTTAATACAGTCAACACTGACAGTACTACAAGTAATCCCTTACATTAAGAGGACTGTCCTCCAAAAGCAGTATTACCTGTTAACTGTTGTTACTCTTCATCACCAAGTAATTTCTATAATGAAATCCCAACTATTAGAGTATTTGAGGTTTGCTATTTTGCATTTGTGCCTCTTAATATTGCACTGCCTTCAGAGATACTCAGATTGTGAGGAAATATCATGCAAACCCCAAAATTCAGCCTCATTCAGTTTCTACAAGAACGGAGGATGCTCACATTTCCTGTCAAGTTATGCTTTCCTAATCTCTGCGATGAATCAAGCTTATTTTTTTCCTTTAAAACCCACCAAGTCTTATGTAGCATAAACTTTGCTTCAAAAGATAAGCTTCAAAAACACCTGCAGCAACAGAATTAAATACCTAAAGTTCTCCATTAGACAAGATTTCTGAGCTTCTTTATGCAATAGGTAAAAGACAGTAACATAAATGCTCTTGAGAGCATTTATATAAAACATGAACATGTTTTCTCAGCTAATACTCCCACAATAAAATGCACCAGACTGACACATTAAGGAAGCAGTCACACAAAAGAAGTTAAAGAACATGTAGCTCTTCCAAAGGGGGGTCCTAAATTTAGTATGTTATGGAAATCTTTGTCAGTCTAGACTGATTGAAAGTCTCATCAAATGCTTTTTCTCCATGTTATGCTTCCTACATCTGAATGATATTTCCGTCAAGCTGTATTTTATTAACTGATAGCTATTATATTGAGCAAGTATAAGCAACATCCAAAATCACTTACCAGGGGCACACTCCTTGCAGCATTTGTCACGAAAAGGATATTGATGTTCTTTGCATTTCAATCCCAAGCAGTGGCTAATATTGACTGCCAGCAGCAACAACCAAACAGTAGAAAAACGGGAGTAAAATCTTACAGCTCCCATAACACTATTGTCCCAGCTAAATTCTGATAGCTGCAAACTCTTGGAGAAGAGATTCTAACTCACTGGTGATCAGAACAAGTTCATATGTCAGTTGCTCGGAAATTCCCAGCTTGTGTTCCACGCCCCCATCCTTTTTCCCACTCCCACCCCTCCCTTACCTATTTTTGGCAGTTCACAACTAAAATATACATAGGCAAAAAAAGACAATATGGTGAACAGCATTTGGAAAGAGTTTCTATTCGTAGCTTTAAAACAGAGAGCCTTCAGCCAGATACATACCTCTCTACGTAGAACAGAATTAAACACAGCTCTTGAATGCCAGGAGAGCTAAAGAGATGATCCATGTGACTGTAAAGAGCAGTATTAAAGCAATACAGAGGTAATGCCTGAAAACCTTCACATATGAAAGCCACAGGTAAAATGAAACAGAGCCCACATGGGCTTCCTCCTTAAAAGGCAAAGCACAGATTAGCTCCCCTTGCTCTCACTCTTAACAGCAGACCCGTAACTTTCACTGCGGCATAAAAACCCAACATTGTTAATACTCTGTTGTTTCTCTTCTCAGGAAGAGTGTGGAATCACAAATTGTCAGTCATCTTGATACTGCCCTCAGGAGCTAGCAAAAGCTACAAAGAAGCATTTACAGTCTCCTTTTCAACTCGGTATCAGACACCCTGCATTGCCACTAAAGAAGAGGAAGCTCCGACTCCAAAACGGATACTTTTGGAGTCGGAGACGCTATTTCCTCCCATGGAATTAAAGGTTCCAGCAGAGGCATGCTGTATGACAGCAAAGGGTGCCATATTCACGTACCAGCTGCTTCTGATGTCTATTTTGTTCCACAGAAGCATGTTAACTCTGGAATACAAAGCCCAGGCAGATTCTCCATCCAGCTGTGCAAGCCAGCAACAGGATAGCAAAGGAGCATGCTGGCAAGGCAGTCCTGCCCTCACCTACCACAAGCACATGGAGAAAGTAGTGATCACACTTGGAACTAGGGGTTTTAATCTTTCCAGGCTCACTATTAGAATTTTACTCATTTGATCTTATTGATCTCAGATCCGAATTTTAGGTCTTCTAGTTCTAAGAGACCTGAGCAACTTCTATGAAAAGGCCCACGTTAACAAGACATCCTGCAGTGATCAAAGATGCTGTGTTAACAGCAGTTAAACACAGCCAGACCCACTCTTCCCACTGCAAGATTACACTCAATGCCATTTAAGTGGGTTTATACCTCATTACTCAAATCATTCCCTCAGCAATATTCAACCAGACTTCCTCCCCCAACAATCTTTCAGACTTTACCTAGTGAATAATTACTGACTTACTGAATTAGAACCTGAAAATGCAAACTGCTATGATGCTCACAAAAAAGGTAATGTTAAAAACTTGTGCACATTTAAACTGAAAGCTCCCAAAACAGTAGAGCAGTCATGATGACGCACTGATATTTTTGTTACAGTTACTTAAATACAAATTAAATGCTCATTTAATAAATCCATCTTCAGAATTCAACCTTTACGTATGGCATTATTAAGTGTTACGAGGCTTGATATTGCCAGATCCCTTTATATGGGGGATATAATTTACTATTATTCAAGTAAATAAGACAGGGAGAGAACACTGTGATTATCTCATAGCATTTCACATCTAGCACACTCCTTGGCTGGATTTTCACCAAAGCAAACTAACCCCTCCCAAATGCTGCCTAGCATTCCCACGGGGATCATGTGCACCACAGGCTGCTCTCAAAAGAGAGCCTTGATGCAGCTAGTTGGGCTGTAGAAGGGAGCATCATAGAAGTGACTTGAACCATGGTATGGGTCAGAAATAAGACCCATTTCTGCTTTCATTTAATGTAAGTGTATCATTTTTTACTAGATACTTATTCTAGCTATTCTATACAAGCTTAAAGATGAAATTGAATCCATGAGATCATAGCCTTCGCATACCAAGTCCTATTAAGAGTAGGCAGATTATCTTTCTTCATGTACACAGGCAAAAAGCATGAAACTCAAAAGCACTCCTTAATATAAGGCTTTAAAGAGAAAGCTGCTGGGTTCCTTAGGGATTACAGGCAAGTAAGGGTTTTCCAATGGGAAAGGACCCAGCAGAATCTGAGAAAGACTGAGTGCATATAAAACACTTGAAGGTTCTTTAAAAATAAGTCTACAGACAACCTGGAATAGTCTGAATTTCTAAGACGGGAATAAATTTCATGTACCTCCAAATCTCACCATGCAGTCCACTTTATCCTTACAGCTGTTAGTTAAGAAGTGATCCTGATTTCTGGCAGAGAAAAACAGAACACGGTAAGGTGCAGAACTCCATGCATACACTAAAAAGGGGGGGGGTTGGCAGCTGTTCCTCAAGTTTCAGATTTATCAGCTGCAACAACACTACATACTTCAGTATTTTTGCAGTTGCTAGCTAAATACTGTGGTACCTTGTATTTCCCAAGGGGTTCCATGCTCACATTATCAGAAGATTAAGACTGTGTATGCATAATCTTTGCCTCTACTGACAAAGTTCCTCCTATTTCAGCTGCAAACTGGAACTTGCTTTCTGAGCAGCAAGTGTGACAAGATGGAACTTGTCCATTCAAATTATATCTAACTAACTGAACTGTACAAACAACTGGAGTATAACGCAAGCACGCAGCCCAGACATTTATACAATTATCAACTGATATTGCTAAAACCTTTGTCTTGACTAGATTGTGAACAAAACACTCGCAAAACTATGTTCAATGCTTCATTTTGTTTAGTTTGAAGTGCAGGTCACTGCGTATTTTAACCAAGGCTTTATAAAAAACAGCAAAGCAAAAGCTAGACCTTTTGCCAGTCAGTCTAAACCAGCCCTCCCTATGACTTGTATTAAGCATCACATTTTTAGACATGGGTTTGTCTATACGAAAATCTCACTAACCTGCAACCAAGTGCACATGGAGCGCTGGTAACGGGTGGACGGGAGCAGAGGCTGACTTACATGGCAGATGCTCTGAGCTCATTTCAACATGAGCTTATCAGCTGAAGTTATCCCATTTACCCATCTTACAGTTCTTTCAAAAGTCTTATTTTGTACTCTGGAGAATTCCAGTTTTTCCTGTTCACTGACAAACCTAAACCCAGCAACATTTCCAAAGCACAGAGAAAAGTATTTAATGAGAAAAAGATAGAAGTATATAAAAAGACTCTGATACAAGCCACTTCACAAAAATAACCAAAAAAAATCCAATAAAAAAAAGAGAGAGGGAATAGTGAAACAGAAACAGACAGCAATACTTATATTTACATTATATTAAGAGAATAAATTTAATCAAATATAACATCTCACTTGGTTTTCAGGCAACCCTTCCAAAAGAGGGGTTGTTACAGTAAAGATGGAACCAGAGTAAAAATACATTTTCTGTTTTAGACAGTAGTGGATATGACCCTTGTGTTGCAAGATGCTTTCAGAGACTACCCAAAACCAGACAGATTAAAAAGCTTCCCAAGCGCTGATTGTACATTGCTCTGGCGGGAGCAGTTCAAAAGCAAAGCCTGTATTTCTGCCAGCTTCATCATACACAAGTTCATCAGCATCATTCATTTGGACAGAGGCAAGTAAGTTTAGTAGGTTTAACAATGAACTCCAGTTAAGTAGTAACCATACACCTAAGGGAATCCTACTGCTCTCTCCAATGTCTAAGTCCACAAAGAAACCTTCCACATTGCTTCATTTTAGAATGAAATCTGATTTTTAAAGACATAAGCCGTTTTCCCACATTCCCAGTGTAGTCACAAACTCAAATCCTGCCGCACTATAAAACCAGTTTTCCTTTTCAACCAGAAGCAGAAGAGCTTCTCTCCAACATTTAAAGTAAGTTCTTCCCCACAGCTCCTAGAAATAGTTTAGCAACGGAGGGAGAACTTATTAAAAAGTATTAAATCCTCAACAGTACATAAGTAGGTTGAGACACACTGAGAAAAATCCTAGCAAATCAGTCTACACACGGATACTCTCACAGGGCCAGAACACATGTATGTGAACCACAACTGCCTTTACGAAAGCCAGCATCTCTCAGTGTTATTTGTGATTTCCATGGATCAGCAGCTATGAGGGCAACAAGAAGAGTTAAATAGTTAAGCCTCCACCAAACATGATTAACCAAAAGCAGCTGAAACTTCAGCGGGATTAACTGTACAAACCAGGGTGAACTCATGTAGTCCAGGACCCGCCCCATCATTTATGGTCATTTTCTTCCCTCATACTGAAGGCAACAGTGCTGTAGATCTTATATACGGACGGACTATGTTTTAGTCTAGGACAACACACTGTAGGCATATAACACAGATAGCAGCAAAGTAACTTTCTGTCTGTTTGGGAGTTGGACTTCTTTTCCTTTTTTTCCTGTGGTTTTATTTTTTTTGAAAACAAGAAAGTGCTTCAGAGCTCTGGAAAAGCGAGCAGGATCAGAACTCCTCATGGACATTACGTGCATAGTCCATAAGCTTGCTGCCTGTGAAGTACTCGCTGTATTTCAGGATCTCTTCCAGCTCTAAGTGATGGTTTTGATTTTCATCTGCTACTGCTATCATTTGCTTCGCTTCATTTAGGGCATTGTATTCATTCATAGGATCCATATATTCCTAAAGCAAATAAGAAAACGATTGTCAATGACTGAGCACACGTTCCTACACATCAGAATGATGAACCTTAGCTCTAGATAAGCTTCAGCAATTATGAGACCAACTAAGCCATCCCAAAGTGAACATAAGTCATGGAAAAAAGTGGTAGCACAGCTTTTTAACGGGCTTGCTTCTGTTCTCTTTGCTATTTTTCCATTCATTGCTCCCTTGGCTGTTCTAACAGAAATCCAGATTTTCTCACAGCTTATGTCAAAGTCTACAATAAAAATATCTTTGACGTACTGGTTGCAAACTGAACTATCAAATCTGGTGGGGTTTTGTGAAGAAATGCCAATTCAGAATGAAAAAGTGGCATGCTACTGATCTGCATGACCAATACAGATGTATTTTCTTGTTTCTTACATACGTTTTTAGAATTATGTTGGATTTAAAACTGTCTTGCTTCATTTTAAACCCACAGGCAGACATTCTGAGGTCAAGTCTCAGAAACAAAGCATTCTGCTCCTTTACCTAACCTGAAACAGATAAATCGTTTCCAAGCAGTGCACTTTTAGCTCATGATGTAAAAGACTTAAGATCATCTTCAGTTCTTTCCAGACGTGACATACGTAAGAGCGTGTGTCTATGTGCGGACACGTATACAAAGACTTCACACTAAAATGGCTATTTTTAGAAGAAAATTATACATTAAAAGGTTTTAACATTGACTATGTTACAAAATAACTGTTTATCCATACTACCACTATGTTCAGACCCACATTATTTGCATCCTGAGCTTTTGACTTTCAACATTCACCCTGTCTCAGGGAGAATATGAACATTTGAGAGGTTCTCCTTTCACCTGCCTATGCTGCAGTATGAATTCTGCTACTCAAAGTATATTCCTGCAGCCAGAAAGGGAAAAAAGCCAGAAGTGAACCACAAACCTCTTCCATTGGCCACAAAACTGCCACAACTACAGGGTGCAAAGCATTTTGTGTTGTTTCATAGACTCTTCTGCAGACAGAATTAATAGAAGAAAGGGTTTTTAAAAACACTCTGAAAGAGATCTCTGCTATTTTCTAGGCTCCTGGGCCCCGAGGTTTGCTGGTCATTGGGGCTTTTATGGTTTATTTTGGGGTTGTTTTCTTTAATACATAAGTTGCCCGTTACTCCTTTTGCAGCTGAAAGTATGACTCACTGCCCATCACCCAGGGCACCTGATGAAGGTTGTGACTTGCTTTCATATGCTCCATACCCATATAAGTGTCTCTGTGACAAAAAAAAAACTAAAAGCATACCTGTGAATAACAGTTAGGATACAAAAACTTCCCCTCTGCTTTAACAAAAAGTATAACACTATCTGCAAGCACTACAGAACAATACTATAATCCAAAGTAGTAGTAGACACACACACACTGTACTGTTAATTCAAATATTTTTGGACTTCATACTCTCTAAAACAGTTTCAATCCTGTATTTAAAATCCTGCTATTGGCTTTATAAGCACTAGAACTGTTTGAGGAAGACTTACCTCCAGCTCTTCCATTGTGACAATACCATCGTGGTTAGCATCAATCACCTCCTCAAATTCCTTTCTCCTGTCTTTTACCCAGTCATCATCAATATCTTGAGCTTGCTGGTTCTCTACAGTACCAACAGGCAATGAAATGAACTCTGAAAGGGTGAGTTTCTTATCTCCGTCTTGATCTACAACAGAAGGACAGAGGAAGTGAAAAGTGTCTGCTGAATGCCCACTAAAATGAGAAATTCCTTCCTGTCTGAGATGTCACTGGTACAGTCTGCCTGGTTCTAGCAGTCCACAACCCTGACTGTAGCAGAGAACAGTTACCATTTATAGCTTTGGATAGCCAAAACTTCTCTGCATTATGGCATACATACAATGTTTTAGAAGGCTAAAAAAAATAGGAACAGACGAATCAATAAGAGGCTTTCTGGATTTGAAGGACACACCAGGCAGCAAGTTAAGCCTTTTTCTTTTTTAATCTACAATCCACGCAGCAGACATTTCTTGCAGCTGTATCCAGTCTCCCCTCGTGTTAACATTCACATAAATTACCCCTCACAAATGACTGTACTGGAGTTGGTTTGGCTGTGTGCTTCACATAAGTATCACTGGAAAGTCTTCATATTTTTGAAGCTAAAAACTAGCAAAGTCATAGCTCTCTTTCTCTTTACTCCAGGTGTTCTAACCGTTTAAATACGCATCACTAGTGACTCAATAGGAAAAAAAAGTGCCAATACTTATGAATTTAAGGAAAAAATACTATTTTCTTAGGAACTTCAACCATTACTTTCCACATTCAGGACTGTACATCTCAATTCTTGCTCAGTTGCTGGGCTGGGGAAATATGAAACTGTAACTGCCCTCCTCATGGAGCACTCACATGAATGTATTTTACAGTATGTTACTACTTACAAAACCTTTTCTACTGTTGCTACAGTGACCCTCCAGTGCAGAAGCACTTCAGAGTGACGCAGCATCAGCTGAACTTCTTTGTAGAAGTATTCAGTGTATCTTTCTAATATACAATAAATATTGCGCTGTTCTTTAACATCCAGAGACTAGTCTTGAGAGAGGCACAGACAACTCCAGAGATGACAGCATTAACAGTTTGTTTTTCTTACTGACCACATTACAAAGCATGTAGAACAGAGCAATCAAGATACTCCAAAATTTCAGATAGACCCATGACAGTGCAATGACCTAACACCTACCCAATAAAATGGTTTGCAATTAAACAACTCTCAAGAAAGATGTTTTAAAATGGCATACCCAAATCTCGGATGATTTCTTTCACCATGAACTTCAGCATCCCCCTACTATGCTCTGGATGGAGAAATGACAAGAACTCTTCTTCATTCAACATCAGATCAGGAGGTGGGTTGTCAGCTTGGTACCACCGATCCTTCAGGTTATCTAGAACTTCCTGTGCTAGAAATGTAAGAAGATTAAAGCTATCATGTTCAATCTACTTAAAGTTCTTCAAATATAACTTCCTCTGACACTGAATTGTTTAAGCAAGGATGACCAGCTCAACACCCAGGGAAAGCAGGAAAACAAAATGCAATTAGTTTAAGTCTAGTTTGTGCTAGCAAAGGTCCTTTAACCAAATAACCAAACTGAAATTAGGGGATGAAAGCAAAGATTTAACTACACCAGTATCAAACCTCAGCATATCAAGTGAAAAGTATCATCCTACCAGTACTGTTAGCTGGTTCTGGTAGGAGGTATGAATAATCCAACTTGCTCTCCATTCTTAATTTCATATTTTGAAGCCCATTACCAACAGAAAACTTTTGCCTGCCTGAATACCAGTAGTACCTTTCTTCTGAACAAAACATCTTTTTTTTCTACATTTTTTTCTACATTATGTGTACCTAATGGTCCCGAACATAACTAAACAGGGAAAAAACACCTGTGTGCAGGGTATTCTTTTTCTGGTGTACGCATTTTCTAAATGACACAGTGGAAAAAATACTGCCTGTAACACACGCTGCGTATCTGCAA